TCATTTCTTGAACTGGGATGTAGAAAGTACATTGGCAGGCATCCTGAGACTCTTTCAGTTGTTCTGCTGTACTCTGCCTCCTAGAAGAGGAATCTTCCCTTCCTAGACCCTTTATCTTTAAGAGCATTAGGCCGGAATACCTCTTTCTTCTTTTGCAGCTCTAGTTTGTGTGTTTCTTTCCTCACCCCTTCCCTCTTACAACATCCAGTACCTTTCTGATCCCCAAGAGATCAGCATCTTTCTCCCCAACTTTATTCTACTTTGCTTGGTGCCAGTCTTCCCACCTTACCCAGGTGTTTCTTTTGCCTTCTATACCTCTGATTGTTTGCACAAGCATTTGTGTCTCTTTCCCCTTACCCTTTTGTTTATTTTTTTTTACTCCTATCTAAATGCTATTTGTCCTACTGCAGCTATATGAATTGATTGCTTGCATATTGCACCCCTTCTCACTCAGCTATTTCATTTCTTGAATTACTGTTCGCTTCTGCATCAGATGCTCTAATGAGAAAGAAGAGCCAGTCCCCTTCTTTCCCCCTCGGGTCCTCTCTCCTGCTCACTTTCCATTGATGCCTACTCAGCCTGAGTCTGTCCTAGTCATGGAAACGATATCTGCTTTCTCTGCAGAGAAAAGGTGACATGGACTATGGAACACTGACTCCTAGTATTTTCTTCTCTCACCATACTTAGGGCTCTTCTTAGGTGCTCTACTGTTGACCCCACAATGATCTCCTCTTGTGAGTACCTGCACCAGGTAAAGTTGTCCATGTTTTCAGTAATGATGTTACGTTAGCCTGCAAGAACAGCCAGTATCAACAGACAAAAGCCTTGAGAAAGAGTTTACTTTGGTAGAGCTAATGGCTGTTGCAGTTATTCCATCAAACACCATCTTTTCATCCTGTTTGGGAGGTCTACGGTAACTTCCTGCCAGAGGTCAATACTTGCCAGAGCAGCTGATGACCGGAGCATGTTGGACGGAAGGTGCTTTTATAGGCCCCTAACTTCCTCCCTTTGAGCCCTGTAAAGTGCCTGATATTTGGCAAGAAATTAAACAGCAGGACAGTAAAGTGCAAAGCTGACACTGATTGCTCTGCCTTAATGAGACAGGCAATTTCCTAATCAGAGGTCTGTCTTATCTAACAATTTCTGCTTCTTCCATCCATGTCCAAGAATGTGGGGAGGGGTAAGGGGAGGAAAGGAAGGAAGAGGAGGGGAGGAAAAGCACCATAAAGCTTTTGGTGGTACATTGTCTTCTTAAAAACTGATGATTCACATCTTCAGTGCCACATGAGCCCTATTCCTCTCCTTCCTCAGCAAGTTTGCCGATGACACCAAGCTGTGTGGTTCAGTTGATACGCTGGAGGGAAGGAATGCCATCCAGAGGGACCTTGACACACTTGTGAGGTGGGCTGATGCCAACCTCATGAAGTTTAAGCATGCCAAGTGCAAGGTTCTACACCTGGGTCGGAGCAATCCCAGGCACAGCTACAGGCTGGGCAGAGAAGAGATTCAGAGCAGCTCTGTGGAGAAGGACTTGGGGGTGCTGGTTGATGAGAAAATGAACATGAGCCAGCAGTGTGAGCTTGCAGTCCAGAAAGCCAACCATATCCTGGGCTGCATCAAAAGGAGCATGACCAGCAGATCGAAGGAGGTGATCCTGCCCCTCTGCTCTGCTCTCGTGAGACCTCACCTGGAGTACTGTGTACAGTTCTGGTGTCCTCAACATAAAAAGGACATGGATCTGTTGGAACAAGTCCAGAGGAGGGCCACGAGAATGATCAGGGGACTGGAGCAGCTCCCACATGAAGATCGGCTGAGAAAGTTGGGGCTGTTCAGCCTGGAGAAGAGAAGGCTGCGTGGACACCTCATAGCAGCCTTCCAGTATCTGAAGGGGGCCTATAGGGATGCTGGGGAGGGACTCTTCATTAGGGACTGTAGTGATAGGACAAGGGGTAATGGGTTAAAACTTAAACAGGGGAAGTTTAGATTGGATATAAGGAGGAAATTCTTTCCTGATAGGGTGGTGAGGCACTGGAATAGGTTGTCCAGGGAGGTTGTGAATGCTCCATCTCTGGCAGTGTTCAAGGCTAGGTTGGACGAGGCCTTGGGTAATATGGTTTAGGGCGAGGTGTCCCTGCCCATGGCAGGGGAGTTGGAATTTGATGATCTTAAGGTCCTTTCCAACCCTAACTATTCTATGATTCTATCTTATGTGTCAGTGACAGTTGCACTTATGCTCCTATGCACAAAGCTGTCCTGTTCATGTCAGTAATGGCTTTCTGGAAAAGGTAGGTTTTGAACATTATGAAGTTCTGGTCAACTTGATGTGAACAGATGCATCACTTTCTTTTCACTCAGACAGCATGACATGGGGAAGCTAGCTGGCCTTTTCTGCTGTATCTATACATATGGTGACCAGATGGAATGCAGTGAGCAAACAAGTTTTTCAGCTTGGAAAATGACTGGGTGTTTACCTGCAGATATTGTTCTCAGTACAGTGTGCCAAAGGAAGTATGATGAATGAACGCAGGGCCCTACTGTGCCTTGATTTGTCTATTAGGTATTATCTGGTTCCAGAGAAAAAAAGAGTGCTAGAGCATCTCATCAGAGACCCCTCTTCAGAGATCAAGAGGATGATGCAGAAGGGAGATCCTTTAAACCTGACTGACATTCACAGTCTGACAGTAGGTTCCTTTTTAATGGACTAAATGTTCTTCTCACTCTGGCTGCGTTTTTAGAAACACTTTGCTGTCCTCTGAGTAACCTCACCAAATACTGTAGTTTACTGCACATTATGGGAAGTCCTTAGTTTAGATATTACTGTTTTCTGGGCTGAGTCTGCAGAGAATGGAGAAGTTCTCTGCTTGAGAAGATGTCTTGTGTTCAGGGTAGTATCAAAGAGGATCTCTGTGATCTGCCATGTAAGACATTTACTTAGCACTAACTCTGTGGGACCTGAAGTTACAATCCACTCCCATTATACCCATGCTGTCTAGTGCAAGATCATTTTCAGTGGTTTATCTGAGTTGAAACTCTGCCAGTACTGTTCCTGGAACAGGAAGGGACAGAACGGGTCACAGTTATACTGCAGGTGTATCAAGGCACTTTGTATCAAGGTAATTATTTTTGTGCAGGTGTAGCTTACATTACTAACATGTTCCTCAAAGCACGAGTTATCCTGACCTGCTGTAGACCCATGCCAAGTCATTCACTTGAAAGCTTCCTCCAACAACTTGTATTGCCAAGTTGTAAGGCCAAGCTCTGGCCTTGGGGACAGGATCGCATCTGTGCCCAGTGCCATCCGACAATGCATGCACCTGCTGTTCTCTACAGGACACTTGGTTCTGTTCAGAGAAACAGTGAACTGTTTCCACCTGCAAGACTGATCTGTCTCTCAATGCCTTTCCTGAAAGCAAGCATGGAGAGGACCACTGGTCAACAACGATCTCTTCCTGCCCGTGCTCAAAGGTTCCAAGCCTTTTGCTATCCTGTGGCCAGCCTCCAAAGCAAGGGGGTTTCTAACGCCATGTAAGCCTCCTGCTGGCAGGCAGCAGGAAAGGCCTGGTTTGCCTCTGCAGCCAGGTTTACATTTTTTGTCTGCAGGCTCTGCAAAGCCTCCTTTTATAGTGTTTAGTCCAGCATAGTGTCTGCTGATGCACACATTCCTCTCATGTACTGCTTCTAAAGCTACTGATAGGACCAGCAGCTCTCTTATCACCATGTGAGCAGGCTTGCTTGAGACCCAGTCCAATTCTTTTCCCCTTCCCCAATCTGTCTTGAGTATGTTACATCTGTATCAGTCAGCTTGCAGTTTGTTTTGCACTGCACCTCCTGTATCCCAGTCTGATCCTGAAAGCTCTGCCCCTCTTAAGTGACCTATCCAGAATTTGTTGGTTTCAGAAGACAAGCTGGGACTGGGCCTGCAGTGAAATAACTGCTATTTCTGACTTCCAAGCTATTCAGTATTCCCATGCTGTACCTACCAAATAAGCACTAAGCCCAAAGCATTCCAAAAGTGGTCCACACTACTGGCTGTTGTGGAGCTATGTGGCACCTCTCGCTTGCTGGTGCATGTCAGCTTGTTCAATTTATGGTGGTAGAGCTTTGTTGACAACTCATCCAGAAGTCCTGCGCTGCCTTCAGGGGTGAAAAAAGGTTCCACAGCATACACCTTCCCCCCGCAAACTGCAGCAGGTCTAGTTAGGGGGAGAAGCCCCGAGGTGGCGTATTAAGCATCTTACGCACGGGAAGCCTGAAGAGACAGTTCATCTGCTGTGCCTGTGGGTGCTCAGTTCTATCAGCACAAGGTGGTTTAGAGCTGAATGTGTCGGAGGACGGTGTAATCTTCACAGAGGCAGACAAGGCAGATGTTATCTCCGCTAGGCAAGTGGAAACAGCTGTTTCTGTCTAAAGAACTTCTACTGGAGTGAAGCTTTGCAGAGGCAGCCAGAAGCACAACCTTGACCCTACTCCTCCCCGCCCTGCCCCCCCGCCTTTTTAATAAAGGATTGTTGGACTATTTACACAAGGGCAAATAATATTAATTTTGGAAATGACTGAATTATTCTTAACTTTTTTTTTTTTAACTCTAAAATAAAATCAGCCTCAGGCAGGCAGCTGGCATGGAAAATTTCAGCGTGCGTAGTCACAGCCTGGCCAGGGAGAAAAGGGTGCTGTGCGAGGCGAGCGCCAAGCTGCCGTCCTCACCGGCAGCGCTACCGCTCCCCGCCTGGCAGCTCGCTGCTGTCCCGCACGGAGGCCACCGGGCCTGGAGCCGCCCCGTGAAGGCAGCTGGCAGAGCCCGGTCGGCGAGGCCCGTCCCGTCAGACGGCTGAGGCGAGGCCGGGCAGCCCGCCACGCGGCTCCGCGTGGGACCGCGCACCCCCCGCCCACCACCGCGCCAGCGATCCCCCCCGTCCGCACCAGGGGTGGGCCGCGCCTGGCGCTGTCTCTGCTTTCTATTGGCTGGCGGAGCTGCCCATCGCTCACAGGGGGCGGGGGGGGAGGGAGCCGGCGAGCCGAGTCGGTCTGGGCTCAGCCCCCCCCCGCCCCCCGGTGCGGAGGTAGAAGTCGTGGCCGCCCCGTCCTGAGGGAACCGGCGTCTCCCGCCTCCGCCAGCTGAGTACGGCTCCCGGCGCGCCGTCCGCATCCCGTTCCGCGCCTTTCTCCCAGCCGCTCTCGGCGGGGCCGCGATGGAAGAGGAGCGGGCGGGCGAGCAGATGAGACCGTTGCTCACCACGGTAACACCGCGGGTGGGGAGAGCTGTGGTGTGTGGTAGTGGGGAGCACAAAGCGCCGCCGTGGGGCAGCGCCGCTGGCGCCGTGCTTGGGGCCGCTCCGTTTCGGCTTTATCGGAGTGCGGCGAGACCCTCCTCGGGCTCCCCACCCGCGGCGGCTGCGGCAGGACGCGGAAGCGCCGCTTGTACCTGAGCGCCGGGGTCTCCGTCGCCCCTCGCGCAGGTGTGCCCGCGTACCGGCCTTGTGAGCGCGGTCATGTACCCCCCATAGCCTCGTGGGGCGGTGGCGCGGCTGGAGCCGGAGCCTTTGTTCCGCCGCTGGCTGCTGGCGCCGCGGGCTCAGCGACTGCGCCTACCCCGGCCCCCCTTTCCTTTGTGATGTCCCCGCTGGGCTTGTGCTGGCGGCGGTGGGCGGTGAGGCCGCCCCTGGCCTCGCCTTTCTCCCTGCCCCCGGCCCCGCTCGCTGACGAGTTCCTGGGCGAGGGAGAAGTGCGCACACATGGCAAGCGGCGAGCTTCCCCTCGGCCTCGTGGTCAGCCACCGCGCAGCCCGGCCCGGTGGCGGATGCGGTTACACGGCGGGTTTCTAGTCTTGGTGGGGGGACATGGACAAAAGTACGGAGTTTGGGTTCATTTCCTTCTCTGGCCGGTGGCTCAGTAAAGCAGACATGTGTTGCCTTACTTCCTGTGCTACTGAAAAATACATGTGGCTCCACAGTTGTAATTTCCCCTCCCTTCAGATGACTCAAGGTCTGGATTTTGTTAATGAGCCTCTGAGCCCTTGCTCTGATATTCGCCCTCAGGGCCTTTTCCAGAAAGGTGTCACACAGCGACTTGTTTTCAGTGCCTGAAGAGGAGGGATGTGTGGTTTGTGACACAAAGAGTACTGTGATAGACAACGCTGAAAACATGTGAGTTTTCATCATCTTTCTGCTGCTTTTCAAGGAGAGACTTGAGTCACAGTTGATAAAATTGGCAGTATAATGAAGTGTTAGCTTCCTGTGACATCAGTATGTTTAATGTGACTTTAGTGTGACTTTCCTTTGTTATAACAGGAGCGTTGGTAACATAGGGGTTCATGAATTTTGCAGATTCCTTGGATTAGTACAATCCTTGTACATTTGCTTTGAAAATTAACATCTGTGCTCACCTCTAAAACTTCTGTAGGTCTGTTCTAGGCCTGTTTTTCACCTTGTCCCTTTTCAAAAAAAGCACATTCCCAACTCATGTTGGCTTGTTCAAGATTAATTACTGGAAAGGGCAGACTGGTATGTTTAAATTATGTTAAATGTACCCTGCCTCTCTGTAGGAGGTATCTCTTAGCAGGCAGGACAACACTTCCATATAGTAAAGAGATGCTAGGCTGTAGGGGGCAAGTTGCAAAAGCTTTGGGCTTCATGTGTGTGGGGTTGAAGTGAACGATGCTAATGGTTACCCTGAGTTTAATCCAACTGAAAAGAGAACTGCAGACATCATGAAGGTTAATGTGCCCTGAGCACATTAGCCAGGCCTGGCAGGAATCAGTTAGGTTCTTTTGTAATAGAAATTAACTAGTGGCTTTTGGGACAGATGCATGAGCTGCTGTACTACTAAACAGTCATTTCTAGCATAGGTGTTTTGAGCAGAGGTGCTCAGTGGGGTGGTCCAAGTTGGTTTCCTTGCAACAGCAACACCTAGTCACCATGGCGGAGTGTTTTCAGGAGGTAACTGCAGCCAAAACAAAGCTGAGATGGTTAGAAAAGTGAGAGAGCAGAAGGATTGGTAGGAATTAGAAAAAAGGAATTTCTAGGGAAAACTCATGAAGTAAGTGGCTTGAAGAAAGGACAGAACATGCTGATTGCATAGTATATAAAGGCTTAAAGAAAGGACAGGCAGTTACATAGTATAGCAGTGTGGGATTTGTTGTGGTTTTTGTGTGCAAGAGGTGTAATTTTATATACATGAGAGATAATCCAAAATATGAGTATTTTTGACAATGCAGTTTAACTTAATTTTTCTAATCCTGTGCTTCTTGTAGTACAAGCCATCTTCCTGCTAGCAGAGCTTGTTGGAACTGCTTACTTGTGCATAGTTTTTTTAGAAATAAAAATCTCAGTCAGATGGGAGAACTTTGTAGGAAGTGTATATTAAATCTGAAAAGTGCTGTGGTTTAAAAATACAGAAGTGTGATCAAACAAAGAACATCAAATCATCTCATTTTCTTCCTTCCTCCAATATTGGTATATCAGGTGATTCCATGTTTATGTATTACTATATGTAGTATATTAGATATATGTAATAAGCAACCTCTGGTGCTTCTTGTGTGGAAGAGCACCTCTGTCAGTCAGTTTCTCCCCCTCCTCTCCCAGTTCATTTAATCAAAAGTATAAACTTGCTTATTTTGTATTTTAGGTCTGGTCTTAAAGAGGAGAATCCTCATGTGTTTAGGACATTGGTATTTTGAGGAGATTACTTGGTGGCAATGTATACATCAGAGTCAGATGGCTGAAAAAGTTATTGCAACCAGAGAGCAGCCAATGATCAGAACACTTGGGATGAGTAGAAAACATAATGGGGAAAAAAGATATAACTGCATAAATCCATGTTTCTTTGGTACGTTATATACTGTGAGCTGTTCTACACCTCAGCTTAGAAAAGATACTTATTATTATTATCATTATTATTACTGGAAAAGGTTCACTGAAGGGCAACAAGATACGAATTAGTTCTTAGATGAGAAATAACTGAACAGGCTAGGACTTGTCAGTCTCGTAGAGATTATGGGGCAGTGATATGTAAGGCTTTATAAAGCTCCTGTGGAGGGGGCAAGTGAAGATGGATGAGGAGGCACATGGTCAAATCAGTTGGGCTCTAGGTTTGGAATGAAAGGGGTTGGCTCTTCACTTGGTGTATGGAATTCATACATATACTTGCTGTACAATGTGTACACAAGTTTTTTTGTTGATTGAAGGGGAGGATGGACAAGCATTGGAGGATAGATAGACTGAGGTTAGTAAATTATGAGCAACAGCCTCAGGAAGTCTGAGTTGAAAGGAGGAGGTTGTGAATGAAGGAGGAGCTGTTTGCTTGTCTGTTTTTCCTTTTCCCTCAACAGCTACTTTCGGTCGGTCTTTTTTGGTTTAATAGGAGTGGAACATATTAGTATGTTGCTTTCTATATAGTGGTGAGTTTCACAGGTACAATGAAGGTATTAAAATGCTTGATACTGTGATACCAGTGATATTGGTTCTAGCTTCTTGCTTTTGTTATTATGGTATTCGCTACTGGGTAGTTTTGTGGGTTTCTTTGCAACACCTCTGAGTAGCATTTAAAGGAATGTATATTGCAGTTCTGTCTCCAGATGTTTTACAGGTAATATTTTCAAAATACTTGTAATCCTAAAAAAAAAAAAAAAAAAAAGATGAAAACTTTTAGTATTTGATATTATTTCATTTGTATCATAAAATGTTCACAAGGCCGTAGACCATGCAGTATGGCTGACTAATGGGTTTATGTTTCGTTGTGTATTCTTTTTCTTTCAATGAAATAAATCTGGTTTTATCACTATTTTATTGCAGATGATGACAGAACTGAAAGTGGCTTTTGTTCATGAAGGGCATATTTCCAGGATTCTCCTTCTGGCTTTCCTAATCAAAGCACTAAGTGATGTAGTCTGCCATATCTCACTGAAGAGGGCATTAGTGTCCCTGTGCGTTTTCTGAAGTGGCTACGTGGTACCACGTCTGTTTTTTTAGCAGCTGTGCAGGCACTTTTATCAGATGGGTTTTATACTACCCTGTTCAATAGTGGTTGTGTTTCAGTGACAGCTTTGGGCTGAGCCCATTTTACCAACACATTATTGCCTCAATGTCGTCTGCCCATTCCTTTATACTGATGCATCTTTTGATGCAGCAGTGTAGTGCCTGGTACTCCAGCTTCTCAAATACATAACAAAACCCGTGAAGGCTTGTAGGAGTATAAGGTAACAGAAGTCGGAGCCACTTGAATTGCAAAAATATACAAAAATTGGTGGGAAATATCTGAATTATCAGAAGCTGCTGGTATTTACAGCTTAAGTGATTTAATAATCAAAACTACAAAGTGCTTTTTCTTTTTAAGAAAATCTGTTTTTCATTAATGGATTTCAGGGGAGAGACAGGTGTTTGGTGGCAGCTAGACTGTTACACATGGTTTCTGAACTACGCTTTGGTCCAGTAACTGCATTTCAAGTAGCTTAGTAAGGTTATTGAAACAATTCAGTTTAGAATAGGTTGTAAGTCTTAGTCTAGCTTGGTGACACTTCATATATACGAATGTTAAGTAGCATCAGTACGAAGTTTTACAGAACTGACGTCATATCTTTCCACATATCTTGGATGACTTACTGTTTTAGAAATTAAATAGTGGAAAGTGTTCTTTTTTTTTTTTTTTTGTGGTTACTGGCCGCCTTATTTGACATGTAGCTTTTGTGATGGTAAGTCAGATGACAGGTCTCCGAAGAATATTATGCTGGTACATGTAAATTTTTCATATTAACATAGTAAGCTCGAACAGGTGTTTTCCTTTTATGTCTGGACAAGGGTAGCTGAGGATATGTTTGTACTGCAAATTGAGGCCTCTGCAGGAAACTGTCCTCCCCCACAAGAGCGAGGCATCTGGCTGAACACATGCTCTCCACAATTTAAAGCAATATGGTTACACTGATGGTGGCACTGCCCTAGCTAAATAGCCCTGATGAGAGAGAATTTTCTAGTTTGGCAGCCTTGCAGACTTGAATCTATGACTTTTGAGAGACAAGCTGGTTTTCTGTATTGTGCTGTTTGGGTAGGGTGCACACCTTCTATAACTTTCACCATGCAGTGGGCTGTGAGCAGTGTCTGTACAGTACTTCAACCTCTTGGTTGAAGTACTGTAAGCTGCTATTGAGTGTATGTGCTGTCAGTCTTCTTGATTTCTTAAAAAGTTACCATGGCTGTCAAAAACTTGTGTTACCTGAGAACTTTTATTAGGCTTCATTGCAGTAGTT